CTTATACACGGAAATATACGGTATACATCGATATTATATATATATATATATATATATATATATATATATATATATATGTGTGTGTGTGTGTCTGTATGTGTGTGTGTGTTTCTTCTGTGTGTGTGCGTGTGGTGTGTAGGGAAGAAAATACACATGAAAATTCTATTTACTAGTTATTTAATTGTTATATGTGCTGTTCAAAATGTCCTTCTTCGTCTTCATCTCTTTTTTCCTATATCTAAACAGTTACAAACAGCCTGGTGTACTAATGGCCATTTACTTATACTTCATCGACAATCACAAAATACCGCTACTAACATAACGATAATGGTACATTCCATTGCTGTGAACTCAATCATAACATGATGTTTACGTTTTCTCAGCTTTGCGTGGATACAAGTTGATTTCATTTATATGGAATTATCCTTCGAATAGGCAATTTATTATGAAGGCCGAGGCGAACCTGCTGACAAACATCACTCAGAATTTAAGGCATTTTTTTTGTTTAACTGTGTTATCATCTTACATGATTTCTTGGGGGTATATAACTGTAATCTTAGCGTTTGCTTCACTCAGTGAGCGATAAGAGACGAGAGTTGTGGCTGGACAAATCGTGGCTGATTCACTACGACAATGCACCTGCTCACAACGCCATGACAATTTGGCAGTTTATGACCGAGAAGCACATCGGCGTAGTGGTACAAACACCCTATTCCCCTGATCTTGCTCTGTGTGACTTTATTCTTTACCCCGACGTCAAGGTAATCATCTTCGTCCTGGGTATGACGATAAACTACGTCCAACAGCAAGACCTCTTACCAGAAAGTTTTGAGGAGCGAGGAACCACCTCTTAATTCCTACAGTTCCCAGGTCAACCCTGACCCGGGGTGGTAGCACCTGTTAAGTTTCCAGCTATGGGCAAATAGTTAACACCCAAACTTGTGTAAAAATAGGTCTTAATACCAGAAATACTTTGTAAGAAAAAAATTATTACCCGCAATAATTTTTGAAGGAAAAATTATCAGCAATACTTCGGCATTAAAAAATACCAAAAAAAAATACCAGCAATTTAAAAACAGTTATAGATTATTTGTCGGCAAAAAAATATGACCAGCTATAGATTTCTTCAAGGAAAAATATTCCAGAAATAGATTTTTGAAGAAAAACAATGTCGTAAAAAGAACCTGCAATAAAAATTAAATAACCCATTGAGGTTGATATGCCGTAAATATTCTATTTAAAATGAATCAAAGCAAAGAATACATATTCTATTCATACGAACCTATTCTAAAAATCTTGTCGGCATTAAATAACCCATTGAGGTTGATATGCCGTAAAAGAAAAAGAAGAAAATAAACCAAATCAAATAATACGAACAGGTTGATATGCCGTAAAAGAAAATGAATCAAACCAAAGAATACATATTCTAAAAAAAATTGATCAAATACGAACCTATTCTACGAAAAATCTTGTCGGCATTAAATAACCCATTGAGGTTGATATGCCGCCAAAAAAAGAAAATGAATCAAACCAAAGAATACATATTCTATTCATACGAACCTATCCTAAAAATCTTGTCGGCATTAAATAACCCATTGAGGTTGATATGCCGTAAAAAAAAATGAATCAAATCAAAGAATACATATTCTATTCATACGAACCTATTCTAAAAATCTTTCGGCATTAAATAACCCATTGAGGTTGATATGCCGCAAAAAAATAAAATCAAATCAAAAAAATACATATTCTATTCATACGAACCTATTCTAAAAATCTTGTCGGCATTAAATAACCCATTGAGGTTGATATGCCGTAAAAAAAAAAAAAATGAATCAAATCAAAGAATACACATTCTATTCATACGAACCTATCCTAAAAATCTTGTCGGCATTAAATAACCCATTGAGGTTGATATGCCGTAAAAGAAAATGAATCAAACCAAAGAATACATATTCTATTCATACGAACCTATTCTAAAAATCTTGTCGGCATTAAATAACCCATTGAGGTTGATATGCCGTAAAAAGAAATGAATCAAATCAAAGAATACATATTCTATTCTTACGAACCTATTCTAAAAATCTTGTCGGCATTAAATAACCCATTGAGGTGTTGATATGCCGTAAAACAAAATGAATCAAACCAATACGAACCTATTCTAAAAATACATATTCTATTCATCAAACGAACCTATTCTAAAAATCTTGTCGGCATTAAATAACCCATTGAGGTTGATATGCCGTAAAAAGAAAAATGAATCAAATCAAAAGAATACATATTCTATTCATACGAACCTATTCTAAAAATCTTGTCGGCATTAAATAACCCATTGAGGTTGATATGCCGTAAAAAAGAAAATGAATCAAATCAAAGAATACATATTCTATTCATACGAACCTATTCTAAAAAATCTTGTCGGCATTAAATAACCCATTGAGGTTGATATGCCGTAAAAGAAAATGAATCAAATCAAAGAATACATATTCTATTCATACGAACC